CCTCCTTGCCCCTGCCTCGCCCTCTCCTGGACAAACTACTCTTAAACCAACCACATGCTTTTGGGTTTTTTGTTTATCTTATCATTAGTAATATGTATTATATACAATATTAATATATATGCTTAGATATAATATTTTCAAAGACAAAGATAGGATTTATAGCTACTGATCATAAATCGCAATAATAAAAAAAGTGAGGTACTCAACTTGCATCAGAACCGACTTACAACTGAGTCATTAGAACAGAACACCATCAAAAAAAAAGAACAACACCATCAATGCCACAAGGTGGCATAAGTATGGTGCACGAATAAGTCAGAATTCAATCAAGATCCAAGGAAACATCAAAACGTAGCAAGCAGAAGGAAGAAACACCCCTTGTCAGCTGTGACTTTGCAAGCGCAGTTGCAGTGCAGTAGCAAGGACAAGGTCGACACGAAGACGATTCTAAGCAGGTGAAAGATGAAGACGTGGACAGTGATTAGGAAGTACATAGACAATAAGCATAAACAGTAGTTGAAGGATTTGGTTTTGAAGAGGAACAGATATGTAAAGAGAGCTGATGAAGATGTGGGGCAAAACCAAACCAAACCAACCCACCCACAGCTGTGAGCAAATCAGACTTATAACCACTCAATTTCCAGGCTGTAGCCTTCATGGAAGCAGACTGCCACATCTTTCTCCCTCAGATCAGCTGGCAGGTTCAAACCGCCAACCTTTTGGTCAGCAGCCAGTACTTTAACCACTGTACTTGCTACTAGGGTTCCCAAGTAGGTGTTAGTACTTTCTCCAAGATGGAAGACATACAGTGGGACTTGTGCAGTGGGAATTACTCGCCAGAGAGGAAGGAACAGATGCTGCAGAAGAGAAAGGGCCACACTAGAAAGTCGGGGCAGGTGCCCAGGTCAGTCTTAGGAACATTCCCCACTTTAACTGGAACTGGCTATGGGGACAAATGCAGGCAGGTGGATGGATCTGGGATTGGAAAGATTAGAACATTCCCTCTTAACTGCTTCTATTTTCTTAATGAAACAAGAAGCTAGGCCATTTGTGTGTGCTAAATGAAAAACATTTATTAACTAAGAATATTTTTACTGAAATTGAAAGTGTTCTTGTAATAGAAGTATCTTGTGATGAAACTGTAGTGTTCTTGTAATAGAAACATCACAGGCAGGGGCTGTTGGAGACAGAAATGTCTCACCGTTTAGGAGGCTACAAGTGTGAATTCTGCATTCAAGGCTGTACCTCTGTGGGAAATCGCTCTTTTTGCGGACTCCTGAGTCAAAGCCTGTCTCTTTCAGCTTTCGTTGCTCAGTTCCTTGGCGTCTATCTTGCTTTTTGTCCTCGCTTTTCTCTGTACCTAATAGGGTTGCACGCTGCCACCAGCATGACTTCATCACCCCAACAAGGGGAGTGCTGCTTCCAAACAGGACACAGGCACAAGGAAGTAATTCAGTTCAACATGGATTTACATTGTTTATTAACATGATCAAAAATTCAGTTGACCAACTTGCAAGTTTATAAAACCCCCATTATGTATGCACTACAGTTTGTTTATCCACTGCCCTGTTAATGGGCACTTAGGTTGTTCCATCTCCTTGCTACTGTGAACAATGCTTCAGTGAACGGGTGTGCACATAACTGTTGCACTGAGCTCTTATTTCTCTAAGATATATATCCTAGGACTACAGGATCATATGGTCCTTCTATTGCCAACATTTTAAGAAATCGCCATGCCATTTTTCAGTGTTTATCCCATTTTATCACAGTGTCTGAGAGCTTCAATCTCTCCATACCTCACCACCATGTGTTGTTTTCTCTCTTAGTGAACTTTGTTATTAATTCTGGGAGATGATATCACTGCTTTGATTTGCCTCTCTCTAATGGCTAATGATGGCTAGTAATTTTTTCATGTGTTTATTAGCTGCCAGGGTATCTTTTTTGGAGAAGTGTCTATTCATGTCTTCTGTCCACTTTTTAATTGGATTGTCTTTTTGTTGTTAAGCTGTTGAGGATTAGTCCCTTGTCAGATATATCAGGGCCAATCTCCCCCTCACCCACCCAGTCTATAGATTCTCTCACTCCTTTGGACAAATCTTTTGACATGCATGTTTCATTTGTAGGAGAACTCAGTCATGTAATTTATCTTCCACTGTTTGTGCATTTTTGGTTATGTTTGATCACTTATTATGCCATAAATCAGGAACCCTAGGTTTGCTTCTCTTTTGTCTTACATCTTTATATAGTTTTAAATTTTATATCCAGGTCTTTGATCCATCTTAAGTTGGCTTTGTATGTGGTTTGAACTGTAAATCATTTCACTTATCTGCAAATGGTATCTAGTTTCGCCAGCATCGTGTTAATGAGACTGTCCCTTCCCCTGTAATGGATTTTGGTGGTTGTCTGGGGTCAGTTGTCCATAGGCGGATGGATTCACTTCTGGGTTCTCGATTCTGTTCCATTGATCTATGTGTCTGCCTTTGTACCAATACAAGGCTGGTTTGACTAATATGGCAGTGCAGCAGAGTTAGCGATTAGAAAGGCCCAGCTCCTACTTTGTTCTTCAGCAGTCTCTTATCCAGTGTCTCTCTCCTTGCCATGAAAAGCAGTGACTTTTCCATCTCTTTAAAGATGTTGATGGAATCAGGGTCACAATTACATTGTATCTACAGATTGCTTTGGGCACTATTAACCTTCTCACTGTGTAAGTCTTCCATTTATTAAGTCTCTGGCTTTATTGGAGTGGTGCTGTGTGGTTTCTTTTTATGAGATTTTTGTATCTCTAGTTGAGTCCTAAGTATTTTATCTTTTTGGTAGCTACTGTAAATGGTATGTGTTATTTACCTGATTTTATTTTTTCAGTTCTCTTCTGGCTCATTTTTTATGTTGATCTCAGACACTGACTGAGTTAGTTAATTGTGCCAGCCTGGCCGATAATCACATGTGGGGCTAACTGAAAGGCGGAGGGATAAATGGGTGGTGAGCCTCACCTTTGTTGTTCTCGGGTCTCTTGCTTTGTGATGGTCGCACCAGGATGCAGCTGCCTTAACAGGTCCCTGCTTCAGCTTGCAAGATTGACTTCCTATAAGACATCCCCAAGGAGAAGCCGCATGGACCTATCCCGATGCAGCCCTGGGTGCTGGAGCAGCCGTGTGGAGACCCCTGCTAGTGCTGAGATGCTTATTCGTTCACTGACTCAGCTTTCCTCCTGCAGTTGGCATCATTGCCTCTGTTTTGTGAGGTGGAGGACTTTGTGGACTGGTGTTGGGTTAATGGGTTAATGTTGGAGTTGTGGGCTTGGGCAGCATTGGGTTGGGATGTTTTCGTGATGCATGTTTCCATTACATAAAACTCTCTCTTATACATGAGTCGCTGTGGATTTATTTCTCCAAAGTACCCAGACTAATACACTGACACTTTGCGGAATCTTTCTCCTAGCTCCAATAGCTTTCTTCCTGAGTTTCTGGGATTTTCTATGTAAGGATCATATGCAAACAGGGATACTCTTACTTCTTCCTTCACCAATTTAGATGACTTTTATTTCTCTTTCTTGCCTCATTGCTCTGGATAAGATTTCCAAGACAACATTGAATAGCTGTGCTGACAGAGGACACCGTTATCTAGTTCCTATATGCAAGGGAAATCGTTTCCGTTTCCCTCCACTGAGTGGCCTCTCCTGATGCAGAGGAAAGGAGAGTAAGGAAAAGGCTCAAGGAAGCTATCAGTCCAAGGGATGAATGGACCATGTGAACCACTGCCTCCAGTAACCGGAGTCCAGAAAAACTAAATGGCACCTGGCTACTACCACCAACCATTCACACTGGAACCACAGAAGGTCTTGGGCAGAATGGGAGAGAAATGTAGAACAAAATTCAATATAATAAAAAGGACTAGACTTGCTGCTCTGATACAGATTGGTGAAACCCCCAAGACTAGGGCCCTCGGGCACCCTTTACACCTGGAACTGAACCCACCACCGGCAACAGGCCCATAAGTGAACAGTCACATGTATGAGGAATATACTCTCCAGGATCATCAGCCACACAAAACCAAATGGGCAGCGTCTGCCTGTCAACAAAGGCTGGAAAGCGGGACAAGGCAGGAAAGACGGGCGAATGGCAGTGGGAAGCCCCGGTGGAAATGGGGAAGAGCACTGTTACATGGAAGGAGCTGTAATTTAATGTATATTAAGGTTATAAAATGTGTATAGATTGTTGAGTGGAAAACTAATTTGCAATTAATTTGCTCTGAAAACTTTTACCTGAACCACAAAAATAATAAAGTACTAATACAAAAAAAGAAAAAGAAAGTTTGTGAAGTCTGCATACAATTATCTACCTGCCTTCAAGACGAGTCACCTCTGCCTGCAGAAGCTTCTCACTAGTGTGGGTGAAATCCAGCTGCGAGAGCACATGTTCTAAGTACCCCTGCCCTTGGCAGTGGCACCTCCTTTCTGACTGAGGCCCCTCCAGTGGCCTAGGGAAGGACAGAAGATGATTGTCAAAAATACTCTTTGTATCTTGGAACTGGTCAGTTTGTCTCCTGTTTTCATTAAAAAACACTGGGAAAGTAAACAGAGAAGAGACGGTGCTTCTCAAAAAAGGCAGCAACAACTTCCTCCTTGCTCACCTGGGATTTGGCTTGCATTTCCAGACAGAAGGGAAAACATAATGACAAAAAACATTTAGTTGACACTTTCTATCTTGAGCCAAAGAAACTACAGATGCCAAGAGCTACAGAAGAGGAGGCATTCTGGCATCAATAAAAGTGTGCACCAGACTTAAATCAAGTAAAGGGGATACACATAACTCGTCCTATTACTTTCCACTTCAAACACCTCACAGCAATAA